TTTTTTTTTTGTCCGTCAAATCTCTTCGTGATTATATTCACTACTTTTATCTAATGTCCGTTTTAGGAAAGACAGGCAGCCGGCTATTCTCTCTTATCAAGCAACTTTGTATCGAACGACATACTGCCGGACACTGTGGAAGTTGCCCAAAACTGGTTCTGCAAAATTGCCGATATCAAAGAGGCTGTACCAAGATTCTATGGTAGATCTTATGTTTAATGCTTTATTTTTTGCACGGAAGTCAGCAGGAATATCTTCTGCATTTCAAAACTTTTTTATCCGTTTTTTCACTTCAACTTGCAAAGTTACAAGCTTGGAAGCAGCGAAGCTTTTTCTTTCAGTGGAAACCACGTTGATAGGATGTTTGCGCTTTCTAGACAGCATTACTATGCGAGTGCATCTTCTGCGAATGGCTACAATGGTCGAATGTGGGTTACTTTCTTCTCTGTTCACTTTTTTCGTTGATCTGTTACGGAATGTTTTTTTCCGTTAAACCATTTCCCATATCAACATTGTAGCATTCACGTTTCGTATTGTTTACGCTACCAGTTAGCAATCAAGCGCATTCTTTATTTTCATCGAAATCGTATATTCTAGTGTATTCTAGTGTTTTCTCATCCGTTATCGGCAGCATATGCTCGTGCGTATATTTGCAAAATCGCGATGATTCTCGAGCCTACGGATCGAGGGCCACATTGGAAGGCGCTCAATGATTGGATGCAAGCATCGAAGCCACCTGTAAGCTCGCAATCTTGTAGTTGTAATCAATCTATTGTATATCAGCTACAGACCGAGAATGTCGCTCCAGCTCTTGAATGGATTGTTCAATGCGTCTCCTACGGTGCCGCAACCATTGAAGATCTTGGCCCACTGTGGGAGTACTGTAAGCAGTCGGAACAGCGCGGCATGCTTCTCCATGCTTTTGTGTTGTCAATCCCGCTCAAGTATTTGCTCAATCATTGCCTGAAAGTGTGCGAAATAGTGAGCTATCATATTCATTTTCGTTTATACTTTGATGATTTCATTGGATTTGTTTTTAGTTAGTTTCCCAACAACGCCCTGCTGAAGATTTTGAGATTTTTGGAAAACGTTTGCTGTCCGGTGAAACGCCAGAGGAAACTCGGCCTGAGATATTGCGGTAGGTCACAAAACTTCTATCTTTACGTTCTGACGTCTCATCCGCTTCTAGGTTAGTGTTGCCATATATCTCCAAATTCGATGGTAATGATTTCATGAGATGCTGTGTGGTCTGGAGCAAGTTTATCAGCAGGTAATTTTTTAAAAATTTCCAGAATAACAGTACCTTATACCCTTTGCTAGCTGTCAAGTAAATTTTTTTTAGATACTTTTCGGTGCGGGAGATATCAAATTTGTGCGAGCTAACGTTTGTTAAGACAAGGAAAAGCAAGGCCAGTTTTCTCCACTTATGACTATTCTATTTTGTCATCAATCTTATAAATTCTTGTAACTTTTTCTATTCAGAATCCGGCTGACCATTTTGCTGAACTAGTCGTTATAGTGGAAAGCATAATGGAATGTCGCAGCGAAGACCTTTCGACTGTGCTCAAATTGAAGCCTTTTGTTGACATTCTTGACTATGTGAGGTAATAG